AAGACTTGACGGTAACGCGAAGCAGCGATAACTAGGCAAATAAATTATGATATATGGTATAGAATGCAGTAAGCTTTGTGGCTGGATTTATTTATATTTTCTATATACAAAGGTGTTTATTATTAATTTTAATGTTAGTATTTCTATTTCTTTATGTAATATATTCTTTAAAAGTTTGTTTCAATTTTAATCTACTCTAAAATTGCGCGAATATAACTAGTTTATAACCAGTTGTTAACTAGTTTTTTGTTGCTTTAAAATTTCTTCGTTTCTCCCATACATTTTTACAGTTAATTAATAACTGTTTATGGGCTTACTCGCTCTCCACCTGAAACGGTTTCTCCGCCATCAGCACAAAGCTTTGCCGACACCGTTTTTTCGCTTTTTGCAAAATCCTTTAATGACAACGCCCCAAAGCAGCGCAGTAAATATTAATTGCATTGCAAATATAATGAAGTGTTAAAAGGATTTTACCTTATTAGTGTGAAAAATTTCTAATTTCAACTGAATATAAAAGATACATACATACATATGCATATGTATATGATCAGCAAGACGAGTTGTCACAACTTATCTTTTTTACCCACACTATAATATCTAAAAAAAATGTCCATATCGGATCCTATAGCATATAGCTGCCATACAAACTGAACGAGCAAATCAAGTTATTGTATGAAAAATGTCAATGCTTTTATATGAAAATACAACAAAATAGAAAAGCTGAAAATATGAAAATACTCTGCAATTGGGAAATATTTTTATTGCAGCCGCCCGCCAACGATGCTCACCTCATGTAAGCCACATTTATTGCTTTTGCATAACTAAACACTTTTGCTGACCACCGTTCGTAAACAAACAATAAATATTTTGTTGTTTTTGCCATTATTATTACTATTTGCAATACAAATATGACCGTTGTTTCTGCTAATGAAGTTTTCACGCTTTCGAGTAATATAATATTTTATGCGCCCTCACTACCCATTGCTGATTACTTCAATAATGTTTTAATAATTTTTTTTATCAATGAATGCAGTTGTTTTTGTTACTGATTATTTTCGTGCGAATAAGCGTCTATATGTTAGGTAGTAAAAAGACGACTGCATTGTATTGAACGCGATACATCTAATACGCGCGTCTGTTTGTGTGTGTGTGTGCACCTATTTTTAGACGCTTTCCGTTATTACCTTTATAATTATACACAACAAGCTTTATTGTTAGCCAATGTATTTTTATAAAGAAAATCTTTTATCAACAGCAACTTAAGTGAGGCATGCCAAGTGTCAACGCACACACACACACACACGTTTTATTCACTTGTTCCAGCTGTACACAACGCAGAGTAAATATGTATAAAATTGATTACGTGTATATGGCGCTAATTACTCAAGTCAGCCATTTGCGCACCTACAACAACACACACATATACATATATACGTATATATATATATATTAGGGTAGAGCGAAAAAAAATCTGTAGATAATAAAAAAACAAAAAATTTTGGACAAAAAACAAATTTTTTAAACATCACTTTTAAAGTAAATTTCGAGTTAAAATTTTTTTTGAACAAAAAAAGGAATTTTTTGTTTAAACTCTTCACGTTTATATATATAAAATATACCGAATTTGACGGTTTTGACTCAAAATTTATTTCAACGCTAAAGGAAAGCATGTTGTCGTTTAAAACTTTTTTTAAAACTCCAATAATGACCACAAAATTTTTTTTTTAGTTGATAACTTTTAATTGGCCCGAAAGAGGACTCTTCACAGCTTCTAGAACACTTATCAAAATTTTTTTACGCTATAAAAATTTTAGCTCGAAAATTTACTTTAAAACTGAGAGCGCGCCTAGAGGCGAGGTGTTAAAAACATTTTTTTTTGTCCAAAAATTTTCTATTTTTATAAAAAAAAAAAATTTCCGCGCCACCCTAATAAATAAATATATATATATATATATATATTCTATGTATGTATGCAGATAGCGCGTACTAGTTACATTGGGCAGGTTTGCATGTGCTTACGTTTATCTCGTTTAGTACCTCGTAAAATAGTTGATTTATTTTTGCCTTCATTGCCACATCACTGTTAACTGCCGAGTTTTATGTGAATTTAATAATGTAAATATAACAAAAAGGAATATAGTATATATGTCGCGACATAAAAATTGTGACAACAAAAATTATGTAAATTTGCAAATATTTGTGACTGCAATGTCTTATATGTGCGGACACACATACGTATATATACCTTATTTCGCGTTATTTCGCTCTTAACTGGCCAAATATTTCTTGGTATAATTTCTTAACTCATCAAAAGTCATCTTAAGTTTGCCATTGTTTTATCTTCGAATTGTAATTAAAATATTATTTTGACTAAACATTTCTCTGCACAGTGTCAGTGCTGCGCTGAGCTGCCAAATAAAATTACAAAAATTGCATATATGACAATTTTAATAATTGTTGAAGACAGTCACGTGATAAAAGTTAGTTAGACTACCAAGACCACATTCAATGCTTTAATTAGCATGCTATCCGCTATCTTAACATCTTCCAACGCAGCGCTGAGCGTGAGCAGCTTAAAAGTTTAATCTCTTCTTTAAATCTGTCTAAATGATCTATTTGCAATTGGTTGTGCTAAAATTATGCTGCATCGCAGTCGAAATAAAATCTATTACATATTTTTCTCACTTTTTCCCAGACAATTGATTGTTACCTCTACGAAATTAAATCAAATCACGGCACAAAATTCTTTTCAATCATTCAAAGGCCTTTCAGGACAGTAGCTTGTCGTCAGAAGAGCGAAAAAAACATCGTTTGACATTAACATGAGCAAAGTCAAATGCCAAGTTTTGATGCGAGAAAGCTTTTAACGCTTCTAAGCTGGCGCTAGACGCAAAGTTTTTGGTTTTGTTTGTATAGAGTGATCCATTTCAAGGTTTTCTACTTTTTTAAAGAAAAAAACACAGAAACTCCAAATTTAATGGGGAATGTTTATTATCATTCAAAAGAAAATTTGTTGGCATTTATTTTATAAAGATTATCTCTTTCAAATATTGGTCGTGGCTACGTCTCAGATGTTCCATTCATTGTGTATAATTTTCGATGACTCGTTCGAGCATTCGACTGGTAACTGGCAATGACACGAGTGACGTTTTGCTCCAAGGTCTGAATCGAAGTGGGATTGTTCGCATTGACTTTAGACTTTACATATCCCTATAGGTTGATTTTGGTGACCAATCGATCGGTCCAAATGTGAAATTATCTGTCAAGAACCACACCAAAGCGTTGCCTTTTCTGGATGAGATGGCAGCTCTTGAATCTCTTCAGGCTGCTCTTCGTTCCAAATGCGGAAATTTGGCTTGTTTACATACCCATTGCGCTAGAAATGGGCCTCATCGCTGAACAAAATTTAGCGCGAAAACATCGGATCTTCTAAGTACTTTTCAAGAGCCTATAAAACGAAGCGATGTCGTTTGGGAAGGTCGAGCCCAAAACAATATGACAGCTGGATACGACTCACGCGTGAACTGTCAAAAAAGCGATATTAAACAAGTACCTCTACTTGGATCACTCGTTATATCTTTTCCACGCTTTCTGCGCAATAAACTTTAAAGCATTAAGCTAAGTATATATTTTAGAGTTTTTAAAGGAAATATGATATGTGTAGCGCTGTTTCTAAGGTTAAGGAAAGCTTTCCTCTAAATTTCACCCAACTCAACTTCAACAGTTCCTAGCTATGTACCTACTATAAGAATGCAGAAAACATTGCTGAAAACAACACTGATACAGTGAGTCTAAAAAATAAACGTCACAGCGCGTTTGGCGTTGACTTTGCATATACACACATAAGTGGCCTTGCAGCAGCGCTCTTTGCTAGTATCTTAAAAAATAGCCAAGCACACACACACACATACACGCCTCTAGCCGCTATCGCGACTTTATACTTTGTATGACGTGTTAAGCGCGGTCAGGTGATATGGCATGTTATAGATAAATTGTCTAGATTTTAAGTGCCGATATAAATGAAGAAAAATTATACAACAACAAATCAAATAAACGCTTGCCAGCGGCGCTAAGATCAAAGCGCTCAGCCGTTAGAGGCTATATAACTGCTTACGCTTTAGTTTAGCGTGGATTATAAGTATTTACTGTTTGCTAACGGTAATGGCAGCAATTAAATAACTGGCGACTTGCGCCAGATTTTCCAAACAAATATTGAGTTTTGAGAATTTGTGCAAAAATGTTTCACTTATTCTAGCACTTTGGCGCGTTGCCAAAAGTCTAAGCGCAAGTGATGTATTTATGAAAAAATGGCACGTCAAATTTGTTTATATTGCTGTGATAATTTTTATTATGCGCGTTATCACCAAAAAAACCACTCGTGAATTTTTTATGTGCAGCTAGCAAATTATTTTAATACAAAGAGACGTAAGCCTATCGGAGTTCTCTTTAATGTTCGCCGCAAAAATGCGACATTGTTTGGCATTAACTCATCAAAATAATATTTTTTACGCAATGCTGTGCGACAATTTGGCACACGCTTTGCTTTAAAGACAGCGCCGCGTAGTGACATTGAGTGTTGGCCATTTGAAGGTGCTTTGTTATCAAATTGTTGGCTTTACGGTGGAATGTATGACGCAAAGGCGTTGGAAACGCGCACGAAACTTTCGTCCAAGAAGTTCACAAGTGAAGTAACAACGGGTGTTCTAAGTAGCGACACCTTTTGCGTTTTTTTTTTGACAGATGACGCATGAGTCTGGTCAAGCTGTCGCATTATTTTTGTGCAGTATTGTTTGGCATTTTATTATGGAAAGAGCTACGTCTGAAATTTAATTACGAAAATGTATGTGCTGTAAAGAATGTTGGTCAAAATTTTATTGGCGAGTATTTTGCGCAGCACAAAGAACTACAACAGCTCACTGCTGATTATACAGATTTTAAGACCAATACGAGATAACTATTACTTACTACATATGCAAATAATTCAAATAGTAGAAACTCACCATTATTGGGTTTGAGTGGTAGCTCCGCTTGATCGATGCCGCGCGCTTTGAAGACGGGTGCAACTTTGGTGCAGTTGGGCATAAATTGGTCTATTATCGACGAACCACCGGGTACCGAGGCCACGGCGTAGGTACGCGGTACCTCTATGCCACCTACAGCATCGGTCGCGTTGTTAAAAACTTGTGCGCGAACACACACACAGCAGAACAATAAAATTAGGTATGTTAATAACGTAAATGAGCAGTAATTGAAATTGAAATATTTTTTGGCAGTAGCTGGCGTGCGCCATTTGGCGACAGCAGGCACGGCGCGCTGTTTGCCTTTGGAGCTCATCGTTTTGCGGCGCGAGCCAAGTATTGGTGCAGCACTTAAAGTTCTGTTTAGGCGATGCATAATGTTAACACACGGCTGGCAAATCAAGTGTATGTATGTAGCGCTGAACGTTTGTTTGCTTGAAGTAGCGCTTGCTCTTGCTTTCACACAAGTGCGAGTTGTTGTTAATTTTTTTTTTTGCTACTGTATTTTTTTTTGTGTTCTGCTATTTCAGATTTTCGTTTTTATCGGCGCTTTTTTGGTGTCTGCTTGTCCGTGTTTGCAAATGATTTTAACACACGCTTGTCGAAAACACCTCCCTCGACTCGAATACGCTAATTGTTATGGCTTTGTATTCACACTACGCTTTATTGTAGTTGTTGTTAATATGAGTGTTGCATCATTATTTGCAAATACTTGTATGTATGTAATACACGCATGCACAAATGTAAATACGAAAAACACGTAAAAATGTCTAAAATTGCCGGCTGTAACGTTGTTGGCGTTGTCAACTGTGAGCGCGCCGCGCGGCTTTCCGGCGGGTGTGTGTAACGTAAACAAAAAATTCTAATATTTTGAAATTTGCTACTTTTCGTACTGTTTGCCGGTTTACTATGGCAGCGACAAGGTTAACGACGTCGCCAGTAAATATGTGTGTGACACAAGTGATTCGTGGACTATATAGGTGGAGGGCTGAAGGCAGTGCTTTCTCCAGGCGTATACGCTGAGCAAGAGGGAGGTTTTGAGGTGTTACAATTGTTGTTGGCTGGCACGATTATTTAGTAAGTTGGTGATATATTCAAGGCACACTTAGCGAGTTTTAACGGTGTTACGTGGGAATGAGGTGTAAAGTAAGAACAACTATGGCATAATAATATTAAATACAACACAATAATTTCTACTTTTACAGAGTTTCGCAACTAATTATGCTTTCGTTTGATTTTTGGTTTTTTTTTTTGTTAAACTGTTGAAATCACTAACTTTTTCGTAGCAACAACACACACACGTTCGTTGGCAGATTTTTTTTATTTTAATTGCAGCTTCACAATTTTCTGGAAAATCCGTTTAATTTAATATTTTGCGCGCACACTCACACACTGTATAATTTCTATTACGTATATTCATGCAAACAAAATCACACTGAATTTAATTTGAAGCGACGAAAATTGCGTTCGGCAGGTATACTGGTTGTTGGCGCAACGCTAACTACGAAATATATCGCACAACCGCACCGCGCGACCAGAGTACAACGAATGAGCGTTGAGCGAAGAGCGCCCAACCGGCTGGACCTCAATGAAACATTTTTCCCGAAAACGAATCCATATGAAATACACACACACACACACAACTACAGGCAGACAGAGCAGTGACGGCAGCGCGACAGCAGAAAAGCAACAAAACAAACAGCAAAAACCGGAGTTATTTGGTTGCAAACGACAAGATACAAATGGAACTCGCTCGCACACTGCGCCACATACACACACGCACACGCATTTATGTGCTACGGCATATAAACATATACATGTACATATATATTCATTTCACAGGCATGTGGAAATTGTGTTTTATTTGTTGTTCTTCCTTTTGTTATCGTAGCCATTGTGCGTATCTGTCAGATACACGCAATTACAACAATAACAAAAACATGTCAGTGTGTTCGAACATGTTCGATGTTATCTGCAGCGTTTGTTCTTTTTCACCTGACTGCAATCTACTGTATTGAGAGTTTTAGCAGAGAACTTGAAATACTCATTTTCTTAGTGAAATATTCACAGGTTTTAGCACAAATGTGCATAAGTCCATTATGCTAAATTTACAGTTAGCGTTGAATTTTTATTTGATTTGCCTAAAAATCTTAAACTGGTTAATTGCACGCATATATGTATATTTATGTGCCGGCCAAAAATATGAATGACTCAATTCAAAAACACTCACTTAGATAACATACTGTTAAGTTAACAGACTCGCTATAAATGTAATGTAAATCAGGAAATGGAAATATTTCAAAACTTCGCATATGCAGGCAGGAATATGATTGCATGTATACAAATATATGAGTATGAATATTTGTGGCAAAGAAAATGCTGGCACCACTTCACTAATTCACATTTTATACTCTTGCAACATGTTGCTACAGAGTATAATAGTTTTGTTAGGTTGTTTATATCAACTAAAAATAAACGGGTTAAAAATATCGGCAAATCTGTGAGATATATAATATTATTGAAATTCTGTGAAAATGTTTCTTTGGTAATAGTATACTCTTGTGTGAAAAATGGGTAGGATCGGCTCAATACTTCCCTAAGCCCCCATATACCTAATATATAGATTTTCGAACTTCTAGTTGACTTGATACCACATATGTACTTATATCGGTCAATCTGATAGTTATTGTAATAAAACTGAGAGAACGTGTTTTTCTAATACCAGTGTATCTTTGGTATCTTTAAAACGTCCAACTGATTTTACTCCGTTATATATGTTTATAATTATATCAGAGAATGTTAATGAATATACATTAATAATTTATTATAATTCATTTACATCCTCTGATTATATATTGTATTTATAAACCTCCACACACAGATGTCGCTACGCCAGCGAATTTTGTTACGAAATTCATCCCTAAACAGGAGTTTATTAAATGATTTATTAACTTTGGATCATAAGCAAGAATATTTTTAGCTACTATTTTCTCACTTTTAACTATTTTTTATCCATTTTTAAAAGTTGAATTTTATTTTCTTGCACGCCGTTGCACCCTGTAGACTAAATTTCCGCCGCCATTATAACCGCTTCCCCTTTCGCGCCAACAAAAATTTCTAGTTAAACAGAAAAAATTATAAATTAATTAGCTAAACGTATTCAAAATTATATATATTACTAATCTTATAATATGTGCATTGTAATGGTATTAAAAATTTTAAAAATTATTATCGATAGCGTGTTTAAATATTCTTATTATCGAAGTAAAATCTGTGATAAGCTTGTGTGCTGCAATGTTTTGAGTGTGAAAAAAGTATGTGAATATTCTAATAATACTATGTACATTATATTTAAATGTGTATAACAATACTAGTTGAAATTTCATGAATTTAAGTGTTGCTGTGAAATTAGAAAAGTTGAATCATAGAATGCCAGCGGCGCAGTTACGAGGAAAGTTGGCTGCCTCTTGCACTATATGGTAACAAGTGAAGAAAATATATATGATTTTTAATAATAATTATTTGTATTACATAATAAAGTTTTTTATCCTTTTGCCAGTTATAGCGTTTGCGCTATAAATATCTGCAATGTTTTGGTTACTTTAGATGGCAGTTATAATGCGAATTTTGAAGCCACTAACAGCTTACAATTAATTATAATTATAAGCTTTTAAAGCCGATTCAGTTGTTATATCGACAGATTGTTGGATAGAAATACGCATTCGTTTAATTTACGCACATGCCTAGACAAGGAAAGGACTCACTATTACAGCTACTTACCAATCCAAACTGGGTCAGATCGTCGAAATAACAACACTTGGCCGGATAGAATTCAGGTCAATTCTGTTATTGTAGAACCGGCTATTGGTGCAATTTAAAGGTCTGTTTTTCTCTCTCAGTGCTTCAAAGCAGAATATATGCATAAGTTTTTGTTGTTAAAATATAGCACTTGTCCATATTTGCGTATTTATTTATATTAATAATGTTACAACATTTTAATATTTACATATTGATATTTAAGTGCAATATGTGGATATACACGATATATATATTAATTAAATACTGCCTTACATTCTAATACATGTATGTAATGCCTATATAAACACGAACATATAGGAAACAAAAGCCACTTACAGCCAGCGGAAAATTAAACGTAGAGTTCATCATTTATAACTGGTCACAAAAATTAAAATGTATTGCATTTTCTTATTGAGCATTTTAGAAAGAACGAAGCTTAGTGTAAGTATTTCTACAAGTATTTAACAATATACATATGTAGCTAATGAATTTGAGAAGCTTTTATAAATAATCTTCATTATTCATGACAAATATGGCAACATATTTTTTGCTCTGTCATTCTAAAGAAATTCATAAATATTCTTCCTAGTTTAGTATAATCCATTGTGGTTCATTTCCAGCGAAAAGTTCAAATTTTTAGCACGAAAAGCCGTTCCATGTAATGTATGATTGAGACGACGATCAGCTGAAAGGTTAGTACAATGAAATGTACTATTGCTTGGCATTGCGCCAGCCGTTTGTTCAAGTAAGCGGAAAGTATTTGTCTAGGTCTGCGTCTGTTGCGATCATATTGACGGTGAGAAAGGTATCTCGTATGTATGATTTGCAATGCGATGGCTCTGAAAACAAACAAATCAAATAATTGGCCTAACTCAAAAGCAAGTAAAAGCGGTAGGTACTCACCCAATTTGCCGTCACAAACACGATTTGTTATTCTTTTGGCCAATGTTTTGAAGAGCTCTTTTGAAGTGATCTTCTTTTTATAGTACGGATTTAGTAGCTCAACTACGGATTTGCTCACATCAGATTTATGTTTGGCAGCGTTGAGACGCGCTTGTCTTTCATTTAACGAGTGTTTTGAATTCGATTCGGGTCTTTGCGCTGGTTTTCGATATTCGCCACCTTTTGCGGCATTTTCACTGGTGTTGGAATTTTCTGAATTTTTATTGTTTTTTGGCAATGCGAATTTGGATTTACTACCATTCATATCACTTTCAGATGGTGTGGGCAGCTCTTTCTTGCGCTTGGCTGCGTGCCAGTCCGACTGTCTAGACGCATCTTCAGCCTTTAATGTGGCACCGCTTGTGTTTTTTGATGGTGTTTCTTTTTCGGTTGGTTTTATGTCGTTGTTCGCAACAGTTTGCTCGTCATTCTTGAGTAACTTTTTCTGTACAGCAGCTTTATCTGCAGCTGCATTTCTCTCTATCTCTTCCAAAGCCTTGAGCTCATCTTCTATTTTCTTCTTACTTAAAGCAAGTAGTTCCAATTCATCTAACGAATCCTCTGACTCCTCTCGTTTCTTATCCGATTCGCCTTCAAATTCCTGCCATTCGGCGCGCAGTGCTTTAAGCTTTTCTTTTACCGACTTTTCATACTTGACCGAATCCTCAAAGGCGTCCTGGTATTTGCATTTGGTGGCCGACGAATTCTCGTATATTTCGAGTTCGTCCAAATCGTCATCCTTGTGTTTATGCTTGGAGTGGTGTTTGTGTTTGTGCTTGCGTCGCGAGGATGAACTTGCAGATGAAGAATCCGATTTGTATTGATGCGAGGTTAATGTGGAACTAGTGGATGATTTGTGATGGTGTGTCGTTGAGCTGGACGCGGATTGATAGTATGCATCGTAACTGGCCGAGGTTTTGTAGCTGTGCAAAGGCGATTTCTCCTTCGATTTGCTGTAGTGCGACGTTCTGTGTTTGCGTTTGTGATGTACCAGCACATCATAATATTCTTCATCCTCGTTTCTGGTGTCTGTTCTGGTGGAGCTATCTGATTTGTTTGCAAGTGAAATATCCGATTCGTCACCGAAAAGCGTCTTTATTTTGCCGTCATCTTTCTTAGTTGCATACTTAATAGAATTCTCCAACATTTCTTCAGCTGGATCATCCCAATCGTCGTTGCCAAACAACGAATCCATTTTGGCATCCGCTGGTTTGGCAGTATGCTTATCCAAGCGCGTTGTTTCATTTTTGTCAGTATCATGCTTTTCCTCGTCTTCGCTCATTTTAAACTCATTGGAGTTGATATCTTTGTCGCTTATGTCCTCGAGATCATCATCTACTTTCATATTGATGGTATCATTTTTTACGGTGTCGTCTTTGTCAAGGTCGTAAGCTTCTTCTTCTTTTACAGGTGTACCTTCAAAAGTATCTTCTTTCTCTTGCTCGGTCGGTGTCTTTTCTATATCCATACACTCCATACGCTCTTGCTTGATATTTCCATTTTCATTGCTTTCCACATCTTGGCTCTCCCCACTGCTGCTTACTGGCGAACAGTTATCGCCTTCACTTTTAATTTCCTTATTTTTCTCGAAAAAGTTGCCAATGGTTGTCTGTTTGGTAGTATCTTGTTTGTAACTTTTTTTATGTCGCAATGCCTTTGGAAGATCTTTCGTGGCGTTGTTCTTGTTCGGCACATTGGGCGATGATGGACGCGTGTCTTCCAACTCCTTCAATTTACGCTCGAAGTACTCAACACTACCGCCCGTCCAGGCTCCCTGCTGACTTGTTTCGGGACGTGCTACATAGGCTCTTAATATTGGCATAAGCAGCTCTTTGTTCGTTTGCTGGCGGATGGCTGCAAGCTGGAAGAGTTTTGCTTTTAGTTAATGGCTTTTTAATCGAATAGTATTATTCAAAAATAAGTTTGATGTGTTTGTTGTTGTATTTCATTTTTTTTAATTCAATTTGCTTACCTCTTTCGCCAAGGCGTGTCGATACATGTTGGTCACCTTCACCCTCGTAAAGCACTCATACTCTATGTCTATGGCAATGGCTTCAAAATCACGATGGCGCAGATCCCTACGCGGATCATCTTCTTTGCACTGTTCGGCATTTAGCTTCAGCGCACTGACGATTGCGCTGAGGTAGTTCTCACGTATGGCCGTCGTAAGTCCAAAAACTTTGACACCAGACGATGGTGCATGCTTGACACGTGTTATCTGTGATTTGCCCTCCTTCTCCACTTCGCGCGCCGCATTCAATTGTTTGCGCAGTTGAAATTGTTTTCGTATGAAATCTTCTGTTTCACGCTTTGCCTTCTTCGCCAAATGCTCGTGACTTACAGAAGTTTCACTGTCCGACTCGCCATAGTCGTTTTTTAATCTCTTCGCACCCGCGCGCCCACCTGTGAAATTATTTATAATTTAATATAATTTTGTTGGCCTGTATTAAAGCCTACTACCTTCATACAAATCCGCGCTATCTTCCAATGAAACTCCAGATTTGAAGTGTCCATCCATACACAGTTTGTGAAACATTTCTAAAGCCTTCTCGATTTTTTTAGGGTGCCTGCACACGTCACATTGGTCATTGCAATCTGGTGGCGGGTCCCCAAAGTAATCGGAGAAGAGTTTGTGACGGCAACTTAGACTCTCACAGAAGTTAACGATCTCACCGAAATTCTTCACAGCACGCTGCACAAAAATATAAAACTATATATTATTAGTGTTGCGATTAGCAATTTGTTAACTGACCTGCGCCAACTCTTGTTTTCCAGAGCAAGTAGCACTCCTCGTTCTATTTACATCGTTTTGCAGCAGAAACTGTATAGACTTTACATCTTCCCTCCCGTAATACAACCGGCAGTATGATTGTAAACCGTCGCGTCCAGCGCGGCCAGACTCTTGATAATAAGCAGCAACATTTTGTGGCACATCCCAATGCACGACGAATCGCACTGATGGTTTATCCACACCCATGCCAAAGCTGTTCGTTGCACATATCACAGGGTATTCACCGTTCATCCATTGCTCTTGCACTTGTATGCGCTCTGCGCCTTTTAGGCCCGCATGATACGCCACAGCGCCCACACCTTGTTTGGAAATACCATATGCTACGCGTTCCACATTTTCACGCGTTCGACAGTAAACAATGCCACAGCCTCGTTTCGGTGCGGGCACAGCTTTAAACTCGTTTGCGTCACCAAAACAATGCAAGGCAAATGCAGCTAAATGTTGAAAATCATCCTCTATTGAGTTTTTGAATACTACATCATAGAAGAGATTCTTTCGAAAACTGGGCGTTGTAAACCTGGCAACTGGTTGCTTGAGCGCTAAATGCAGGAAAATGTCTTCACGTACTTGTTTTGATGCAGTCGCCGTCAGCGCCAGCCAAACAATGCTGGTGTATTTTCTACGCAGGTTACAAAGTTTCAGATAATCTGGTCGGAAGTCATGACCCCATTGTGAAACACAATGTGCCTCATCTACGGCAAAATATGCAATCTTATTATGCTTGACCAATGTTTGCAAAAGATCTTGAAAAAACTGTGTTGCCGCTTGCTCGGGCGTTATATATAGAAATCGTATGCTAGGGCGCATAGCTTTCAGATCGCTGATGACAGCATCGCGTTCTTTATTTGACATCTTGGAGTTCAATGAATCGGCGCGTATCTTAACCTTACCCAAGTGATCAATTTGATCTTTTATTAGCGCCAATAATGGTGAAAAGACAATAGTTATTTGATTTTCGCACAACACACCAGGCAGTTGGTAACACAACGACTTGCCGGAGCCGGTGGGCATAGACACAAATATATCGCGCTTTCCTGCATTCCAAATTATTTATTATAAGACTATACACAATAAGTTAATTATTTAAGGCATCACTTACTCTCCACAGCACATTTTATAGCACTTCTTTGCAAATCTGAATTGAAGCTGCTATGACCGAAGTATTTCTCAAGCGCAGCGTTGAGTTCGGCATCTGAGTTGTCACCTGCACTCATCGTATTTAGCTTTGTGGCTGTTCTTGTTGAAGCCCTGTTTTTAATTTCAGTAAATTAATTTCACATAAAATGCGTGCTTTTTTCTTCTTTTGCTGACAATTTTTTCTTCCACCTCGTTTATGTTTTCGGCGGTTATTCTTTGTTTAGTATTTTGACATTTGACATTTCTTATTTAGCGAGAATTGAGGAAAGTCAGAAATGCTTGCAGAGAACGTAAAATATATGATATACGATCTCTGATATACGTTCTCTGCTTGTGCGATAGACAGGGTTGCATTGATGTGTTAAAAATTATTCGATACCAGAGAACGTATATCTATATATACGAATATTTATATATATGATATACGTTCTCTGATAATACAAGCAAGTGATGACCCAAGTGGAACACAAATAATCTATACACATAGCATATTAAAGCTTTACGTACAGCAGTGTTTATTTTAATGATATTCTTAGCCAAAAGACTAACTTCCACAACAATTGTATATATATAATATATTAAGGTGGAGCGACATTTTTTTTTATTTAGCCTTTAAATTTTCGAGTTTCCGTGTTTGCTCCACCCTAATATATATATATATATATATATATATTATATATAGGTTTTATAGGCAGAAAAAAAGGTAATGGGTATAGCTTTGTATCGGCAGTTTCTTTGCTCATATATAAACAGGTCTGAACGGTCTCTATAAAAAATAAAATAAATCATAAAAAAACATTGGTTATGTATAATTATTGTTTTATTAAAAAATTATATATTCAACTTTTACAGTTAGTTTGTAAGAAAATCGTTTTGAACAAAACTGTGTCTCGTCAACAATTTACGCTCTTATTCAATATTAAATATTTTAATTGTGTTTTTGTACATTCAAAGAAATGCGAATTTCTCATGGCATATTAAATATTCGATTGCGCTTAGCTTTATATTTATGTTTCTATTTATAAGTATATAAACACCAACGAATTGTTAATTTGAGCTTAATTCTATGCATTGAAAATTATAATATTGCGATTATTTTTGTAAAAATTATTAATAAAAAGTATTATAAACAAATTTGCAGCGATTTTCTGTAAATGTTACAGCATTCGTGTTGGTTCTTAGCCAGAAGACGTCGATGATTCCTCTAACGCAGGTGTACTCTCGATAGTCGCTGATCATAAATCGTTTATTCCAGTTCACCACTAACCCCAAAACGTATTGTAGCCAACAAATCCACCAAATAAATAAGTGTCGTTACCAATGAGACCGCAGCAGCGGCCAACACTAGGTCAAGACGTTGCATATTCGGATGCCAATAATTGCGCTCTTTTGTGGTGGACCAATCGCGGAAGAGTAGCGCCGTCACAGCAACGAGCAGTATGAAGCCAATGATGGACCACAGCGTGGATGTGCGCCAAGATGTACTAAACCAGCAGAGAATAAAAGAAATAAAAAGAAAAAATTTTATTACTCTTGTGGGGGTAAAAGGGTATACTGTAACAGTGTACGTACACATCGCCGAACAATGCCATAATTAAGTAAATTGAAGTATAAATGATGAGGCTGCCAAAGGTTACATAGCAGAGGGCGACAACGCGCGGCGTTATGAAAATGCGCAGATGTGAGTGTGTGGATGGCTCATCGATGAGTCCGATGCAAGTGATGACCAGCGCCTAAAATGAAGACGGTAGTCAGGCATAATTACAAGTATAAGCGAGTTTTGAAGTAATTGTTTAAATTGAATTAAGCGAACTAAATGTGTGGAGTTAAAGCGCACAGTGGCATGTGTATAAACATATGTTTGTATGTGTCTTACCAGTTCAAGCAACTTGATGCCCATTAACGAATAGCTCGCACGCTTCGAACCGCTACTTGTCGTGTAGGTGGAGTCTTCCGCCGGCGTCATCTCTACGCGTGAGATTTCTGTGGAAAGAATTAGTGCAAGACAGAATTTATTACTTTGCAATAACAATTAAATAAGTGTATTAATATGGGCATATGATCAAAATAAATGGGGTCACGTAATGACATGCGAAACATTTGTTTCTGTTACCCATTACCTATTGAACGCAGATAGCTCATTTTGACAGCGTTTGTTTTTGTTTTTTTTAGGGATTTTTCGTTATAATTGAATGCTTTTCTGTGTCACAAAGCAACTTGAAACCGAACTATATGAGAGGTAACGAAATATATTTAAGGCAGCGATCACGTATAGATCAGTATGTGCAATACTAAGTGATAAATGTTGAAAAATATTTCCATTGAAACATATAAGGCTTAGTGAGAAATGCAGTTAGAAACGTGCGTTACAATATATATATATTTGTATTTTCTAAATATTATTTGTGTCATCATATGACCTAATGATACTGTATGCCCTTCAGTTAGTGTTTGAAACGTTTTGAAAACGCACTCTTGCGTAGAGTGATGATATTACGAAATGCAAGCTTCTCTTTTGTCGCGGTTGACACAATGCGTGAGTTATGTGATTTACATTAATATGTTCTGTATACACATGTCGATGGCAAATAGTTTATACTCAAGTTTTCTATATCTATAGATATCTATAATACTTTTTATGTATCAATTGTTAATGTAAATGTATGACAAATCCAAGAATTCAGTTTAACAACAGTTTGCTCAACTGCTTCTCACTTTTGAAATTTTTAATTTAAATACTTTCACCAGATCCATTTCACAGTACTAAGAGTCAATCGTGGAAGCTTCTGTCACTGCATTACTATATATATATATACATATATTTGAACTTATATATTATATATATATATACTTGTATATATATAAACCTATGTGTATGAATATACGTTATTGAAATCTTTATACGATTAATAACAATTTGATGCTTCTGCTTCGTAACTAACTATTGTAAATATTGATAAAAACGTATTCGGAAGTATAAATTAAATATTGAACATATGTTATCGTTATATACTATATACAAGCACATATAAATATTGACCATAATATTGTGTACACACACTTGACCGCTATTTAGTCCTACAACAAGGCAAATACTTTCTCCTGACTTGCCTGCAGTCCAATATGTACTCAAAGGTGCATATAAAAACATATGTATACTAGCACAAGTATATACCTATGCACACACGGCGTCAAGAAAACATGTTTGCACGCAACGCAATATGGTGCATTATTGACCAGTGCCTGACCGCTTCTTATGTGCAGCAATAAGTTGTACTCAGAAAATTGTTCAAAGCACTTGAATGAATTCAAACAAAATAATTGACTTACAATAGAATAAATACGCACATATAGTTATGTATTCATGCAACTTACTTGTCGATGTCCTGAGTTCGGCAAACTTAAAAAAAAAAGTGTTTTTTGAAGCAGTCCTCACCAAAAAAAAAATATTTTTGTATACCCCAGCATTCATTCAAAGTGATTTAGAAGCATCTGTTACTTACATTTGACGGATAAATTTAGGGCAAATTTCACTAATATAATACAAATATTTCTACAATCAGGGTACAGGGTATATTAAGTTTGCCACGATCTTTGTAACACCCAGAAGGAAACGTTGCACACCCTATAACATACTTATCTAAGTGATCAGCATGCCGAGCTGAGTCGTTTTAGTTGTTGTTGTTGTAGCGGAAGAATTCTGCCGAGTCGTTTTAGTCATGCCCGTCTGTGTATCTGTCTGTCTGTATATACGCGAACTAATCCCTCAGTTTTTGAGATATAAATCTGAAATTTTGCAGACGTCCTTTTCTATTCAACAAGTTATATTATTATTATTATTTGTTGGAACTGCCGATATCGAATCACTATAGCTTATATTTGCCGTACAAACTGAACGATCGGAAGTAAGTGCTTGTAAGGATTCTTTTGTATTTGCGAAGTGTATTATAGCTTCGGTGCAACCGAAGTTAACGTCTTTTCTTGTTGTTTATCAATTACCCACCATTAAAAACCAAGCTTCACACAGTCTGGCCTATGCTGAAACTGCTAGACCTGTAACATGCAAAGCAGGTCTAATCAGCCTTTTCTATTTTTTTTCGTCAATCAGACAGTGTCACATTAGTTTCTATGCTAAACAAATATTTATTACAACTTCGAACGTATACATTTTGTAATTGTTAATAATCGTGCGGCATTTGACCGCCCCCGCAATTTTAGCGCAATTCAGTATGCGTGGTAGCAAGTGCTTGCCGCTTGACCTGTTTGCATAACTAAATGTTTGTTGTAATAGCATTACAATGGCAACAAAGCATGCAACAATACAATATAAACAAATAGTTTTGATCATGAATTTGCCATTACACATATTCATGCATATCGCCTTTGTTCATTACCAGCAAAAAATATGCGAAGTAAATAAAAATTTTAATAAATATTCGCGTGCGCTAGAAAATAATTACAGTCACAAAAACAAATATAAGTAGAAGACAAGTATTTATTTTGCGAGCGAATTGCTGCTCACATGCCTTGAAATTTAATATGAATAACAGTAATAAAACTATATTTTTTTTCGACACATTTTCAGGTGATTGAACGTAATAAACGATGACGACAAAGCTTGGCGTCGCGCACAAAACAGGTCATGAAATACACGAAAAAAGTGGTGGAAAAAAACGCAAAATGAAAGCGAACCGAGTTTGTTGTGTTATGGCTAAAGGCGCCAAAACGGGTTTCGTTACCACTTCGAAAATTTGTTGGTAAATAAAAAATGTAAACAAAGCGTTGGCGGTGTGTGAACGCTTGGCTATATGTAGGCTGTCTGCAACAACAAAAGCACACAAAAACAGAACACGTACGTTGTTTGTATGCGCGTAGAAGGAATGTGGAAATGTGAGAATGGAAATAGAAACTCGGAGAGTCAATCGCAGAGCGTAACAAAGCGCTGGTGAACGAAATGCGAGTGTACTAATAAAGCTAAATTCTTTGCGTACGGTCCTTTTCGGTGTTGCGTTTTCGAAATTGACTTCGAAAATCTGTTTTACCATTCGAAGTGCACGAGCGTTGTTAATAAATGCAGCTTGTAGTGCGCACAGCCAAGTGTGTGCGACCGAAAATGTTTGCCACAAGCCACACCTGTTTCTGCGGCACTAGAATGTGTAAAACGCACAGTAAGTAAACAAGCAAGCTTAAATTAAAGAAATTTTATATAAGAAATTTTTTAAGAAATTTTAAATACATTTTATGCCATTTATGAATATTTTCAAACATACACCCTGCATTATACGCTACTTCAACTGCCTTTGAGGTGAAACCGCTTGTAGGTTCAATATTTATACAAATGCGTCGTGAAGCCTTATAAAGCGGCCATTGACTTGTCACACTGCAACATGCTCGTGTAAAGTCGCGCCAACATTTGTACGCGCCAAGTGATTTGTATGAATTTGGTCAACTCGTGCATACGTGCGTATGAAGCACACACGTACTCTGTTTTGGTTTAGAGCCAATAGTGTTGCCAAAAAAACAAGCTAAGCCTATTTTCCATTGACACCCGTCTAACAATAGCAACGAACAGACGTGTCTAGCTTACTAAAGCGTGCGCCGAGCTTCTTGTTCTTCGTGTCTCTCTGTTTACAAACTTGTGTGGTAAAAAGTTTGTTCTTACTTAGCTTGTCTTTTAGGCAATTTCGATTTTCGGGTGTGTGCAAGTTTGTGGCTTAAGTCTTTTGTTGACAAAAATTAATTTAGTCGGAAAGTCGTAGGGCGTTGCTATCTAAAATACCAAATCCTGCAGTGTGTGTCTGACAATTGAAGATGAAAGCATGTGTATTTTTTTGCTTGTTTTTTCTTTTCTTTGTAGATAGCTTATTATAGTTTAGTATTTTGGGAATCGATTCAGCTTTCAATCGGCTTCAATAGGATTTGCGATTCAATCGTGCTTTTCTTCAGTGCTACACAACGTCAATAGTAACCAAATCGAGTGTGAATCTGCAAACAATTCTTCTTTTTTATATTCTTCTATTTCTTCTTATGAAAAGTGTTACAAGACTGCTTTCTCATGATTCCTTTATACAAAATGAACCGCTGTACATCTGGGTTTAGTATTTGTACAAGATTTATTATTTTGCGTACAAAATATGGTTTTCTTGACCCCTAATAGTAACTATATAATATAATGCTAACTAACTGAATAATATAATGCTTTTTCAAGCCGATAAAAATTTGAAACTTTTAGAAGTATCAAAATCTTTCAAAGTCCATTTTCTCATCAGTTAAATTGAAGTCAAATAATTTGCGGCATTTAAATAACTTTGGAGTGAACGCACTACCTATTTCACATAGTATGTATGTTGGGCGCGTGAAAAATTGCCTCAATTTCCTGTCGTTATATATACACAACTATGTTCACAATTAAAAAATAGCGAAGCACGGCCGCTAACAACAACTTTTCATATAATTCGAGCTTGCAGCTACTAAGAAGTCGTGTGGAGAGTAAAGCAAGAGTAGCTGCAATTGCAATAAACCAGTTTCGCGTGTCTAATGCACGAAGCACAACGACGTTGCTTATGCAAATAAAAACGCACAAGTCTGTTGAAAAAGTCTACCAAGCCATACGCAGCCGCAACGTTGGCACTTCACGTGCTGCAGCGAAAAACAAAAACCACAACAACAAAAGGAAAAGTAATAAACAAAAAAGGTGAGGAAGTGGAAACACGCCTTTAGAAAAATGCGAGCAAAATAGAAATTCGCAAAAGTGGTTGGAAAATAAAAAGTTTGCGCCACCAAAGCAGGTCAACAGACGCTAACAGCAATGCAAGCAGCAGGCGAGCCACTATTTACCAACAGACAGACAGACAAGCAGCACTGATTAATTTCCACTTATTATGTGTTTGTTGCTATTGTTTTATGCTCGTGCTATGGGCACAATATATACATGTACATTAGGGTGTGTCAAGAAACAATATATAAATAAAATAAAATATAAAATATATAAATAAAAAAAAAATTCGCCTGGTACTCTCAAAAATCTGACAATAGCCACCACTTTGGCAGACTCTTCAAGTTTCTGCTCTTAATTGTAACCGAAAGGTTCTGCGCCTAACGGTTTACTATTTTTTTCTTATTATCAGCTAGACAAATTCATATTCGCTTCAAACTACCTGACAAATATTTCGTTTTCTGGGTTCTATAGGAAATTAATTGAAGAGCATCAAACGTAATCTGTGACGAT